TAGGGTTTTGGGTTTAGGGTTGCTTAGAGATTTCAGATTGCAAACCGAATGTCCCAACATAACACAACAATCAATACTTGTGAAGTTTCACCCGCACACTCTTATGCTCGACAGACTCCTTCCAGCATTGCAGAAGATCCCAAAAACAGCTCACCAAACCATACAATCACACAGGTTCATAGAGAATCCTGTTCTTATGCAATATTATCCTGCAAATTGCATCCCTTTCTGGGATATCCAGCCCCCATCCACGCCCCCTAAATCCCAAACCCTAAACCAGCCTCCAGGCAGGTGCAAACCTTTGGCAGAAGGAGGAGGCGCTTGGCTCTGTACTATCCAGGTTTCGGGTTTAGGGTTTGGAGGTCTATTCGAGATACCACTCTCTCTCTCTCTCTTTCTCGAGGTACTCTATAGTGAAGCCATACAAGCACAGTAGAACCGCAAAATTGCTAATTATTCAGGCCTGTATGTTAGCTTGGGGTGTAGGCCCGTTGGGAAGATGGTTTGGAGACTGCCGCCGTTCAGTAAAAGCTAGATACTGATTACATACTGCCCTTAATGATCTACTTCACATTAACGACTATACCCATAGTTATAAAATCCCGCCGCCGGAACATAATTTTGATTACCTACACCAACAATTAGAGATGTGTTTTTCAGGGACAATGATCTAAATTAGAGCTTGTAGCTGGTTCTGGATAGATTTGCCAGCCTGCATCTTTGGCATTACTGTTCCGGGCCCTCCCCCCCCGAAATGGAGACGCATTAATCGAGTGGATGGTTATTAATGCGAACACATATTACCGATTATAGATATAATAGTAATGATACTAGAAATAATAGTAGCAGTAGTAAAACAATAGTAGTAATGATAATAATAATAATAACAATTATCGCGTTAGGAATCTTGGAGCTTGCCACAGACTGAGGGGCAAAGTCTGAGGATTGAAACAGGTTCTCGGGCGGGCGAGGGCTTTGGGATCTACAACAAGCAACCGGTCGAGAGAGAAATCCAGACTATAATGAGCCCAAAATAGCTGCTCTGCAAACGAGCGACTGCTGCTACACTTCTGCTTTTTGTTAATGGAGGGCCTATGGTCGTAGCCTGACTGATCAAAGAAACAAGTGGTAATCGCGTTGCATCCAGAAGAGACCCAATCAACCACCGAATGGTTGATACGAGCAAGAGAGCTCTATCAGGGTTCTGCCTCTCCGGCTGGACGCCCTTCAATCGCCAACAAACATCAGGGAGGATTTGCTATTGTTGATATTGCTATTATCGCTCTGATTTATTAGAGCAGCGGTCTACCAGCATCACCATATATGAAACAATTCGCTCAGGCTTGCCATGTCTTCCGCTTCAGTGCCAACCAATTACCCATAGCAATCACTGTCCCCCAAGTACCACACAAAAGCACAAGAAATCGTCTCCTGAAACAACCCAGTAGGCCACCATCTGCAGGGGAAACTTGCTGCTCAGAACTCATCATCTGAGCCCAAGTATATTTGAAAAAGGCGCATATTCAATACAGGGATTATGTAGGGATAATGGAGAAGAAAATGGAAACTACGGTGTAGAGTTTAGGATTTAAGTGCCATAATAACTCGGAGTACTCAATAGTCCGGGGCTGCGAGTGCTTTACAACAGGGAAAAGATTCCTTGCAGAAGGTTCAGGGAAGGAGCTGCCATTGTATCATGGGTTCTCTTACCAGGCCCTAGGTTCCCCCTCGATCAGGCTTGATTGGCATAATATTCTAGAGTAATCCTGACTAATGGGGAAAGTAAGGAAACCCAATTGAACAGCACGCGCAGGGGAAATCTGCATGAGCAGAACCCACTGATACTGAGCAACGACTTTACGTTATGTTCAAAATGTCCGCTCTTCTCAGTCCTCTTTTACCATTCTTGGCGGTTTAGCAAACTTCTAACAACCATTCGCTGTCTGCTGTTTAGTTACATGACATAAGCTGGGCCACGCCACGTTTGTAGCTGGGTGCGGGCCAGGGCTGTCTCCACAGACCACTAGGGTTTCCCTTGCAAATCCTGAAGGAAGATGGACAGACAGATGGGGACGATGAGGAGATTGTAAAGTATAGGTCCTTCTTGGACTTACGTAGGAATTGTTTGCCAAAACTCCCCATGTGCGGAAAATCCAACGGAATCATAGAATCCCACTTGAGCTATAGACTAAACGTCTAAAGCGGGGTATAAGGAATATATAAGGAAGTACTATAGACTTTATGCAGGAGGATACTAGGCGTTAGACAACAGCTCAGAGACCCCTAAACCCTAAACTAGTATAACTCTACATGGTAGTTTCCCTAAATTATTGGGGTTATATAGGGATAATGGAAAAGAAAATGGAAACTACTGTATTATAATAGTGTGTATAAGTCTACATCATTCCCATCTACCCCATTATAGGAGTCTATTTTTCTGGACACTACCCTTATCGTCCATGAGTCGCGAGGAACATCTTCGCCTATCTCCGCCACATCCCCTGCTTGCGAATGCCCCAACGGTCAAACTCAATGTTCTTTTCCCAGCGAACAGGGGATGTCTGTCGGAGTTGCAAACACACCTACGAAGTGGCGAAGCAATGCGCTGACATTTGCTCACGCATGGTCCGAGTGGCACACGACCTCACTGTCCAAACAATCAGGCAAATGTCTTGACATGCTAAGCGAAGTCCTATTGGAGATGCAACAACATTGGGGATGATTTCACATGCGGTGATGCAAGAGTAGTTGGAGCCAAGCAGCATTATCTTTCTTCCGCAGTGTGGTCCTCCATAATTGCGGGATCTTCCTCTTGCCCAGAAGCCGTCTTTATGAAGACCATGGCACCCTGCTCGGACTTTCCTCTTTTTTTGCATCCTTGGATTCGACTGGGTAACCTCCAAACAGCTCCCTTCTTCAGAAGCTAAAAATCATTCTGCCAATAAGCGCAAGAATCTTTTGCTGTGGAAGCAGGAATCACCACTGGCATCACCTGGAATATAGGTGAAGGCGCCACATTTGTCGCCAGCTGCCTGGCACAGCTCTGCGCACTGCTTGATGTTCTCCGCGGCAACTGGCTCTTTTTTTTTACAAAATCTGTTCGGATGAAACTCTAGCTCGCGCAGGTGCGGGCCGAACATGGTGCTTATCATCTCATCTTTTCCAGTCTTCTCGCTCTTGATACTTGCACTGAAGTGAATGTAGTTGTCAAGCACGAACTCACCAGCGTTAAAACTGACCTGGAGGTTTCCCAAAATTATGGGCCCCTTTTTGGGGATCCTCATAATAAGGATTATAATTTTGGGGGGCTTATGATGCCCTAAACCCTGAACCCTCTGTTTTGGGAAACTGCCACCTGGGAGGCAAAGATTTCTGCACCTGCCAGGCGGTGCGCGACGAAGTTGAGCATGTTCTTGTCTTTCCTAGCTTCCCAAGTAGGGCTCAGCCAGAACTTCTCAAATCATAAGGGCACCCTTTTTTCCAATATTCAGCTTTAATAAGGAGACCCCAAAATAGACAGGGAAAAGGCTACTACTGGGGTACCTAGTTTCACCGGCTTGCCATTGTTGCAGGAGTCCAAGAAGATTGTGGAATGATATTTGTCATGACTGTCAGCGCCGTCAATGATCAGGTGAGGGTAAAGCACCTTGGTAGCCCAGTCACCATATAACAACGAGGGTGCTTGCCCTCTTGCCTGTCCGTAAGTTGTGTAAGGAACCCAGGGCCCAAAAAAAGTGTATACGAGTACCCCACCCTAAACCCTAAACCCTAAACCCCTGAACCCCTAAACCCCTAAACCCTTAAACCCTAACCCCACCCTAAACCCTAAACTGCCAAGCCACATTGAGGAATTCAATCGCTGTGGGCTCGTCAACGTGCAAGTAAGGCATGAAAGACTGACTCTGGCTGCTTGCATTTCCCCACCTTGGATTTTAGTTCAGAATTTAGGGTTTAAAGGACTAGGATGGTTTAGGGTTTGTGGCTTTAGGATTTTGGTCTTAGGGCTTAGGCAGTTGTAGCACAAAGGAACTCCAAGCTGTCGCTCACATGAGAATGTCGTAGGCCTTCTCACACCTCCAAGCCACGTCATTGCTCGGAACATGCCATGCCCACCAAGAACGACATGCTTCAGCCTCATATGGGTAGGCAATGCCAAAATCTTAACCCACAAACTAGCTACGGCAGACTCTCAATGCAAGACCTATGCTGAAGCAAGATACCAGCAGGACAATACCCCCTCTTTTAACCACAAGCGCAAGGCCCTGCCAGAGCCTCATCGTGCTAGGCAGCGCCTTCACGTAGGCGATGGCTTCTTGCACCGATGCCACACGCACAAAATGCACGGAGAAATGACGAGCCATGGACATGAGGCGGAAGCACATGTGCCCGTCGATAAACCCCTTGTCTTCACACAAAGCAAAGGCGCCGTTGTGATCCTCCTGTGGCGGGACTCAATTAAGAATGAGAAAAAATTGCAAGAAGTATTGAGCAACGTAGGGGTCATCCATCTTCACCAGAGACTAAACCACTCCTTGGGGTAGATGTAGAGCACATCAGCATCGGCAGTTGGCATTTCATACTGCAGCTCATTTTCTTCTTTGCAAGCGTTGATGGCTGGGAAGGGCAATTTGAAATATCGGAGCATCTGTGTCATCATTTTACCTTGTCATCAGGGTTTAGGGTTTATGGTTAAGTGTTTAGGGTTTAGGGCAGCTGTTCCAACGTCATGATGGCTATCTTCTTACACGTAATAGTGCAAGTTATAATAGCAATATAGTAACAACATTAATAGTAACAATTTGTTTTTGAAATAATAATTACCCACCCTTTTCTACGGTGCCTGGACCCGGCAGCCACTCACACCATTGCTTGGAGCTACTATGCAAGCCTCTAGCCCACCCATTGGCCCAAAGCAAGCCCACGTTTCGGAGGCTTTCGCAGGGCTTCCGGAGTTAAAAGAAAAGTGGGAATTTAGGGCGTCAGTCCGAAACCCGAAATGGGAAGAACAAACCAACGCACCATTCTTGGTTTGTTGGGCTCGAGAAATGTGCCGTCGCAAGAAATGCCACCCCCCCGGCACCCCTTTGTCGGGCCGCCATTTCTACATGTTACCTCCAGCCGCCGCGCAGCAAGATGCCCTAAACCCTAAACCCTAAGCACATTCAGACAAGAGGCCGTCACACGCGGAGCCACGGGCATCAAGCTCCATCTGCATGGTGTCGATCGCCTCCTCACGTTGCTGCTGCCTGGGCTGTGCTTTAAAGTCTAAACTCCCCTATAGTAGGCTTCAGGGTGGAGGGTTCAGGGTTCTAAATTTGACTTTACGGTCTAAACTCCTCGTATCCCCCTTAATATCCCCTAGGTTTCTAAAGGGATTATATAGGAGTTCTATGGGGAATATATAATAGTAATGGAAAAGGAAATGGAAACTGCTGTTTGAGCCATAATCTAAATTCCTAGTATCCCCCTTAACATGCCCTATAGTAGTCCCCTATATAACTTACATAAAGTCTCAAGTCAACTGGTTCTGACCAGACGGCCGTAATGACCTGGATGGACAAAAACAAAACATCCCAAGATTCAACCCTGTTGCTGCCTGACCGCCGAGCAGCATCGTACGGCTTCAGCTAGAAGCAACGCCAAAGACAAAGACCTGTGAAGCCTGAGCTGATCTTCTCTTGTCGAATTGTATTTTCAAAGTGTACAAATCCAAACATCATGCACAGCCTCAAACACAAATGCAAAGTGTCCAAAGACGTCAGAAGAGTTGCAGGGCCATCATCTCCAAGGAGAGCTGGTGCAGCTGCAAGGAATGATTTTCACAGACAAGCGCGGCTTTTGCGAAGACTTGTGGTGATCTGAGCCGTAAACATACACCGGCTTGAAAGCCTCCATCGTTGAAAAGAATAAGGTTTAGGGTTTAAGGTTCTAGGGTTTGAGAGTTTAGGGTTTTGAGTTTTGGGGTTTGGGGTTTGGGGTTTTAGGGTTTAGGGCTCAGGGTTTCAGGGTTCAGGGGCTTTGATCCTGGCATCACCACTCACATGTCGCTTGGGACCCGGCCCTTTCAAACTGTGAAACTGTGGTGCCGCGATGCTCGGTACGCTCGATGCGGCCCTGAAGGCAGTCACATTGAAGGTCGGCAAGCAGGGAGGTAAGATCTAGGGATGTACTTCCCAAAGTGTTCTCACGACAAAAAAAACACACAAGTACGAAACGATGTCTCAGGCAAAGTCTAGACTCTAGACCCGTAGACCCCATACTGACAAACCTTGGCAATGAATCGGGTAATTTCCAAGTATAGTACAAGCCAACCCAAAATGTAATCCAATATGCTATATTCCACCTATCAAGGGACCCCTCATTTTGGAGAACCCTAAACCCTGTGTAAATTCCACTTTAGCCCCATATCCCCAAAAAAAGTTATATCATCCTATATAACCTTCATAAAACCCCTATATAACCCTATTACCTGAGACTACAAACCCTGAGCCGCCTGAAAGCGGAACTCCTTCCGCAGCTTGGCTAGCTGCCGCTTCTCACGCTCCGCCTTCTCCTTGGCCTGGCGCGGCTTCGGAGGTCTGGTGAGGGCCTAGTGACAATGAAAAACATAATATTTGTAATAGTGGTAGTAGTAGTAGTAGTAATAGCAGTAGTTGTAGTAGTAGTAGTAGTAGCAGTAGCAGCAGCAGCAGCAGTAGTAGTCGTCGTCGTCATCGTCATCATCATCGTCAAAACCATGAGAAAATGATAACGGTAATGGTAATAATATTCATATTCATAATCCTAATTGTAATGGTAATAACAATAAGGGAGGCGGGAGGGTGGTGGGGGCCGATTTAAGGGAAGGCTAAAGCAGAGTTTGGCCCTCAAGGCCGTGAGGCTTCTCCAGTTTAGCACAAGGTTTACATCCGGCCCTGAACCCTAAACCCTATAGGCTGCAAAGGCTGAGAGATATGAAATTCAACGATACGGTCAGGGTAGACATATCTGGAAGTTTGAAAAGGCTTGACAGGACATTTACGGAGGTTCTAACATGTCCTGCGGCTCTGCACAAGTTGTTGCCCTATCTAGTTTCAAAAAGCTACGCCGGATTACCGGACCTTATCATTTAGACCCAGGTAACAACTTGCCAAGAGCTTTAAACTTGTTACTGTTCCCAGGTCAAGAGCAGCATATGGAGAGAAGTGCAGAAAGAGCCATGAATTTCAAGCTTCGGGCCTGTGCCAAATTCTTCAAGGCCAAGAACGACAAACTGCCCTCCCGCAATCGCAACCCCATCACGTGGCATGCCGTGTGCAGCAACCTGCATCCCAAGTTACTGCCACAAAAGCGCCTGCGGGAAAACACCACGCGATAAATCAAACAAGACCTCAAAATGCAAGAGGGTGCCACATAGGTACGCATCTTACGAAACACAGCATCAAGGGCCCTAGGCCATCGGATACACCTGATTATAAGTGCAAAAATCTCTGCCCTAGCTTGTCAGCCTCCAAGAACCTTGTCTAGCATGGGAGAAACGCCCAGACACCGCGAGGATCTCTAAAACCGGTGACGTTAAACAAGCAACAGCAACGTCGGCTAGACTGTCTTTCGCAAGAGAACCCAAGAACAGCGATGCACGATGACAAGGCTCGTATTGGGAGTTTTGGGAAAGGCAAGCTGCAATTGCCAGGCTAGCATTGAAGCCCATAAAAGCCCTCTAGACACTGCTGTCGTTATCAAGGTGTCTACCTGGACTTTCATGCATCAGGAGACACAAAAAAACCAATCATGCAGAATTTTTTCAACAGAAGCTAAATAGCTGCTGGAGCCTCTGTGCCAAACTTGCCCTGGCCCTTCTCAAAGCACACCACATACCTGAGTGTTGTTTAGCGGTCGCAGGCATTAAGATAATAGCCTTCTCATAGAATACACTAACCAAAGGAGAACTTTCTTCCTCAACAATCGTACTCAAAATTGCCTACAGTGCTCATGCCTAAAATATTGTAGACTTGGATATAATACTGGTTCTAGAACTTCCAAAAGCCAAGACTCTATATATTATTCAGGAAGATCCTTGAGATCACACGCCAACGACAGTGAATCCAAGAGCCCTCGCCAAGAGTAAACGCCCGCTGCCCATGATATTATAGCATGTTATTACAATGTAGTAGTTTCCGTTTTCTTTTCCAGTATCCTTACATAATCCCCCATATATACCCTATAATCCCTATATAATCACCAATATAGTATATCAACGCGTTCCATATGAGTTCTCTCCTGGCGCTGTGAGCCGCACAGTCTGAATCACATGCCTTCAGTTTGGGGTTGGGAGATGGCAGGTTGGGGGATCGTTCAAGTGGCCTGAGGCGAATTCACTTGTCCGGTTGCAATGCATAAGGGTTTCAGGGGCTGGTCAAGAGGCAGGTATTGCAGGTATTGCGCTCAGAAGGAATTCGTATGCCCCTGTACCTGCCTACAAAGAGAATCCATGCCCTCCAAAACTCCACACTTCTTGAGGCAACATATACACTGCTAGAGGGCAGATCGGAATTGTGAATGCGCTTGCAAACCCAGAACTTCTCCAAAGTAAAGTTACATGAAGAAATCAGATCACCACTATGAGATCCCTAGAAACACACCCGCAGTATTCAAAGTACTTTTCAGCCTTACATGAGCCATAGCCTAAACTCCTAGTATCCCCCTTGATAACCCATATAATAGTCCCTATATAATCCCCTATATAACCCCCTCGGAGGAGTTAAGACCATGGCTCACATCATCTCTGAGTGGGTCCAAGACAATGGCCCACAGCTTTGAGACATCCATACAACAACCGGCAAACCCAAAAACTTTGAACCCTAAAACCTAGACTCTAAATTCAGCTATGGCACCGCTTCTCCGTGTCCACCACGGCGGAAAGCGCTTCTTCAATCTCCTCCTAGTGGCGATGTTGGTCATGTGAGCTATAAGTCAAACTGCTTAAAGGGGGGTTATATAGGGTTTAGGGTTTAAGGTTTAGGGTCTAAACTCCGTAAAGGGGGGCTATGTAAGGGATTATATAGGGGAGTATTAGGGGGGTTACTACGAGGGTACTAGCTTAGACTATGGCTCAAAACCACAACAAATGGGTGTGAGGCGAGGTCCAGGATCTAGTGTTTAGGGTTTAGGGTTTAGGGCTGGAACCCCTGGGACATACAGGGATTCTGACAGACCATTGTTCTACATCATGATGCGTTTTGGTCCTTAAAGCACTGCTTTCCAGAATGGGCGCAACATCTCGAACAACCCCCATGTGGGCCCCCTATAACTCCTATATACACTCAGCTTCCGCTTGCCACCCCGTTTCCATCTGCTTCTCCATTGTTTAAATCTTTCAGAACCCCCGTATTCCTGTAGTAGTACCTAAATAGTCCTCCCATCTCCCCTATAGCCCATACCCAGAATTAACCTCATGGATGGGCTCTAACACAGGGCTCTCAAAAAGACATAAGAGACCGTACGCGACAGTGGCTTGGAGCTGGATAAACACATTACGAAGCACGACTGCTATCTATAGTGCATGCACGGGAGGCCATAAAACATTACCTGTTA